GTTTACATGGACAATAGGCAAACTAGAGAGAGGCGAACCCTTGGTTCCTGTCAGACGCCTGCCAGTCCGACAATTTTATTTAGCCGACAGCGGCCTGCTCTTCAGAAGAGCCACCCCCAAGAAAATTAAAGGACGTCGGGGCCTCGTGAGAGACGTCGTAGTAATTCCGGAATCACTCGAACCAAGAGTCCTTCAACTCGTACACGAGTCGCGGGAAGCAGCACATTGCGGAGTGTATAAAGCCATTCAGATGGCCAGACAGAGATTTTTCTTCCCATTACTCATAACAAAGGTAAAGAAGCACGTTAAGTCTTGCAAAGTTTGTCCTTATTTCAAAGGCTCTACCAACCAGCCCGCCCCTGCCTTGCGCTATGACGTCCCGGATTTTCCCTTTGAGAAGGTCTCCTGCGACACTTTATCAGGTTTTGTAACCACGCGTAGTGGGAATAAACACATTCTCGTATTCGTGGATAACTTTACCAGGTATTGCGAGCTAGTCCCTGTCCCAAATAAATCCGCGAAAGTCGTTGCAAAGGCCTTCCATGACTTCATCCAACGGTACACCACACCTACGTACTTCTCCTGTGACAACGGGACAGAATTTCAGAATGAGGTCATGGACAACCTATGTAAGATAATGAATGTCACCCGCGTGAACATCTTACCTTATAGACCACAGAGCAATGGCATTACCGAGCGCCTTAATGGTTCTATTCTAACGTTTATGAGATCACTGGTCGACACCACATCTGACAACTGGGACGACCTCCTCCTCACCATCCAATCCGCCATTAACAGCACTTTCCATTCATCCCTTGGAGATACTCCACACTTCCTCTTGTATGGCTCAGACAAGAGACTGCCGTATGACCTTTTCCAGACTAGACGCAAGCCTGAATACTCGGACAGTTATGCAGAATATCTTTAAACAGAAATAAGATCGCGTTCCAGAAAGCTAAAGAGTTTCTTACAAAATCTAGGGATCAAATACTGTCATACCAACATAAGATTGCGCGCGCTAAGTCCATAGGTGTCGGCGCCTTAGTTTTCAGAAAAGTACACACCAGTGACTCCATGCGTCCTAAACTCGCCCCTCGCTTTGACGGTCCGTATAGAGTACTCGAAGTAAAGAACAATAAAGCAAATTGTAAATGTTTATCAACAAACACCGTTGCTTGGTACCATTTTGATAGATTGAAGCTAGCTAGCGATCACTACTCACCAGCACACACCTCAGACATTCAGTTTTCCCACGCAACACAAATCTACGTCATTACACACCCAACACCCGTTATAAACTAACAGGCTAACACCGTGTCTCTCATTTCAGATGCTCGTTCTGATGCTCCTGGCCATGGCTTCACCCTTGCTCGCCGAGCCAGGCCTACCCGAAAGGTTACGCGCCGTGCCCGGTGCATTAATCGAAAATCTAGGCACAGTATTCCCGATATCGAGTAATATCGAAGTTAGGGTCTCCCTTCGCCCCCTCTCTGATATTTCTAACATAGCCATTCACCACTTAAACGAGATAACCAGGCTCCGCAACGAAATAGCTGAAGACAATCTATCTCACGAGAAGTTCTTCCTTCTGGACAAAGCTATAAACTCAACAATGTTTACCTTGCAACAGTTTGTCGTACACAAACGTCGATCGCGCCGCGGACTGATTAACATTGTAGGGAAAGTTGCGCACTCGCTCTTCGGTGTCGTAGACGATGACACCCTTACCTCTACATTTGCCGAATATCGGTCAACATTATCTACAATAAGTCAACGTTTTGATACTTCTATCCATAACATTAACGCCATTGCTGACAACATTCAACAGCTACAACACGCCTATAAGAACATATCTCACACCTTCAACGTCCTTCAGAAAAAGATTAACAACGCTAGTCACTTCACAGAACTAACGTTCAACGTTCTTTCTTACCAAATAACAGTAAATACTATTACCCAGTATATCAACTCCTTTGTCTCCGATCTCATCGCAGCCTCAAAAGGTACCGTTTCCGAAAGCCTCATATCTCCTCAGGATATCGACCTCATCCTTAAACAAGCCGCCTCCCATAAGCTCCATCCCCTATTCACCCTCACAGATCGCGTTCCTTTCTATTCTACCCTTAAATCCTTCCTCACGATTTCAGGTCTGTCGGTTTTCATTCCTATGGAACCTCGTACTTCCTTCACCGCTTATTATATTCATCCATTCCCTCACAAAACCAACAACACCTTTTTCACCCTCCAACTACAACACTCACTCATTCTCAAATCATCCCAAGGTCACACTATCACCACACCGCCACCTACCTTCATGACCGCTTGCACCCAGGCATTACCGCGATTGTTCGTCTGCAACTCACGCCCATTGCCACTTTTCAGTGATGACTGCTCGGATGCCATCATCACAAATCATAACATAATTAACGAATGCTCATTCGATAGTATCGTACCAACATCTCGTCCATTTCTTCTACCCTTCGACGACATTTCTGTCCTC